ACCGTCCCTCTCTGAAAAAACAGTGAATTATTTTTTGACACCCTTTTGGCAGTACATGAGGTTGTGGGAATGGTTAATAAATATATATATAAAATTGATAAATTAGGGTAAGCAGAAAATTTTTCAAGTAAACGATTAAAATAAACAAATGATTTTTCCAGTCTGCATAAGTCTCAGAATCATCAGAAGAAGAAGCTAAATAATGTATTAATTTTAGGAGCTGGCTATCATCATATAAAGCTATTGTAAAATTTTTTTTATATAATACCTTGAGGGCATCTGAAGATTCTGCCACTTTTACCATGGCCAGTGTTATTGCTTTTAGAATAGAAAAATTGATTTTATTTTATCATTTTGTTTTTTGATAAAATATAGTTGATAACAAGCTAGGCTTGTACAAAATTGTAAACCATTTCGAAGGATATAGGGTTTGCAATTAATTTGAATAGTACAAATTTCTTTTATCAATTGGCATAATTGAACATTATCAATGACAATAGCATCAAATAAAAGCAGCCTTTGAGATCTCAGCTCTAATCAAAGATCCTTTCACTCATGTTTAAAGCATCATCATAGCTTTACCCAACTAAGAATTTAAGGGGTAGATTCAATTCATGGAACTAAGTTTGTATATTTTATTTTAATATCAAACCAGTTGTGTTACCATTTTCAATACATCTTTACTATTTCGAAACATCATATGCACCATCACCTATAATTAAAAACATATTAAATGCAATCTTTTTTTAAATTTTTTTATAACCACATTTTTCATGGTTTCAATGAGAATATTTATATTATACGACAATAGATTAAAATATACTCCCTTATTTTTTCTTTATATGTTGAATATACAATAGGACAGGTTTCGAATCTGGAATTAGTTTATTTGAAATTGAAATTAGAATTGAGCATTAATGAATAATTTATTTCAAATAACTTTCAAAAAATAATAATGATAATAATTTTAATCTCTATATATATAGTATTTTTAAAGTAAAGTAATTAAAATAAGGAAAATAAGTTTTATAGCCTATAACAAAAATAAAATTGAGTCATTTATATAATATTATTCGTAACAGTTTAATAATGTCTCTAAAAGCTACTATTTCAAAGATTTTCATTATATCAGTAAAGTTTTGTCCACTATATCTTTTTCTATTATGGTCTGTCCATTTATTATCTCTAAGCATGTTTTGGTTAATATTGCGCATATTTTGAAATTCGAAAAATAATTTTATAAGACAATCTTTTGATTATGGATAGGTGAGGTAAAACAAAAATGAAATAAAATTAAAAAAATAAAAAATAGTTTTAACAATAAGTGCATTCAAATTTTAAGAAACAGTTGCTTCTAACGACCCTCCCCCACCCCCCGCTGTAGTGGCCACTTGTGGGATAATGGTCTATTCTAAAGCTAGATCCACCAATGTCTCATGAACAGATGCAAATATATAAGGCACGAAAGAATTAATAAAATACTCCAAGATCATTGTTCAAAGCCGATGTTCCTTCACATCTCGAACCACGGGATACTTCTGTTATTAATAACTCGCGGCCTGAAGGACATATCCTTGGGATAAGGAAACACATGCTTCACATTTATTGACATTTTCGCCATTAAATAATAATAGATATAACGGAAAAAAGGAAATCCCATAAATATTCATATCTAGCCGGCAACAATATTTTTATACCCATTGTGTTTTCAACAAACTGCTCATTTGGGAAAGAGGCGAAATTCCTAATAAAGCTAATTAGCCAAAAGAGCCATAAAACAACAATCTCAAGAGCCCTTTTGATTAAACAAAACTCAGCTTTGAAGTATTGAGCTACAATTTTAAATTATTTAAAGATCATGGCCATTATCAGAGGAGGATGACTATTTTTAACTAAAAATTGTTTTTCTTTTCTAAATATCTTATCCTATATGCGGTTTACATGTTATTCTATTTACTTTATATCAGGGTTTCGAACCGTTTAGTATAATGGTTCGGTTCGTTCCGGTTTTTAGTTTAAAATTTATAAAGGTTTTGTTGCATTTCGGTTTTTTAAAAAAAAATCATATCGGTTCGGTTTATAATTTATAACGGTTCTTTTCGGTTTGTTCCGGTTCTTATAAATTTAATTTTAAAAAAAATTAATCATTAACCATGTATATATTAATTTTAGAGAAATTTTTTTTTAGTTTATAATTTCTTATTTAATTTATCCATGATAATCTAATAGATATTTTTATTAAATTTAGGAAATATAAATTAGACAAATTAGTTTTTTTTTATTTCATAAATAAATAAGATAAAAACAAACATGCGTAAATACAATAATGAATAAAATAATATGTATACTATACTATTTAGGTTTAAAAAGAGAATTCGAACGGATAACTAAAATATTTTCTAATATTTCAGGATTTAATTTAGTTCTCTGCGCAGAGAGTATAAAATTAAGGCTTGAAAATGCTCTTTCTACGGAGACCTGCGTAGATGGAACTGCTAGCACAGTTATAGCTAACTTATAAAGTTCTGGCATACTATTCTTTACATTTTCCCAATAATTCAAAAGAATCTTTTTCTAATCTCTCTATATTATCAAATGACCGAATTATATATTCTATTTCTATACATTTATTATAATTTTCGATGCCCTGAGAATTATTCTTATTAAGACTTTCATGCGACTTAATCTTCAAAATCATCATCTAATATCCTTCGAATACGAACACGTAGGCATAGTATTTAGAATTTCAATATTCTGATTATTTAGATTTTGTATCAAGTTCCAAGTTTTACAAAGATGTTTTCTGGCGATCTCTCTTTCTTCAAAAGTTAAAAATACAATATCTAGGGTCGAAATAAATAGCAGAGCAAAAAACTTCATTTTTGAAATTTATTTCTCGTGCTTTCATCGTAGAAACTAAAAGTCTGGCAAATGAAGTGTCTACTTTACTCGTTTGCATGAGACATTTGATCCACGCAGCATAAAAATCGCCCATTGTCAATTGTTCACTTTGTAAATATTTTGTCAAAACATAAGCGGGATATAAAGCTTTTAATATGTCACTAATTATTTTCCATTCATTCTCTGATAAACATTTTTCGCGATCGCTTTGGAGCGATATTTCTTGTCAAAAGCTTTTTAACTCTAGTAATCTCTCCAACATTAAATAGATAGAGTTCCATCTTGTGCAACAATCTATTAGTGGTATTTTCAAATTTAATTTTTGAGAGAATAGCCATTGTTGTCTGATTTCTTATTTTTTTGCAGATGTTTCTTGCTTTATTTATAATGACAATTTCATTTGAATTTTTAATGCAATCATTAATTGCTAATTGAAATGTATGTGAAGCACATCTAATACCTATTAATATGGATCTGGCATTTGATGCAAGATTAATATTTTCAATATTAAAAGGTTCTTTATTTTCATCATGAATTATATCATTATTATTTAAATCATCATTATCTATATCATTATTATTTAAATCATCATTAATTAAATAATCGTTAAGGTCATCATCTTCTTCATCGTGTAGTATTTATAGCTTAATTAACTTAATCATATTTGCTGCATTATCGGTGGTTATTGTGTAAATCTGCTCAATTTTTATTTCATATTCTTTTAGAACATCTAGAATAATTTTTTTAAGATATTCTGATGTGTGTCGTTCTTTAATCACTTTCATGCATAGAGTCCTTAATTTTATTTTTCCGTTATTTATAAATTGAATTATGATCCCCAATATGGGCCTATCATATCTAGCTGCTATATCTAATTTTAACGAAATAAGTTTTTGATATACTTCCCTTTTTATATTTTCCGAAAAATCTAACGCCATTTTTTTAATATTATTGAGTATATTTTCCGAATTGATAGTTAAATTTCCACCCAATCCTATAATTATTGGATCTATAATATTTCGAAATGCTTTGTCGTCAATTGATTTTATTGGCCTACCGAACTGTTATTAGCTCGGTGCAGGAGCGGATTAAAGTTTCTCTATTTATATTGATTTGTATTGTAGTAGTGTTGGACTTAAAAGCATCTTGGATTTTATTATACTGGTTTGCAGTTTTCGTTATTTGAATTTTTTTAATAGTCAAATTTTCTTTATTTTTTCTTAATAATTTGAATTCCCTATTGTGGAATCTTTCTATATGTCGTTCAAGATTTGCAGCATGGTCCCCAGTTAAGACCTTACCACAATCTTCTATTTTAAAAATAGATTGATTTTTTATCATATCTAATTTAAAATAGGAACGCACATGATTTGACTTTTCCCGAACCATTTAATAGATAACTAAAAAGCTATATGATGATAGATGAAAATCTTTTATTATATAAATAGAATAAATAAAAAAGCTTAATAGAAACAATTTTACCTTCATTTTTATTTTTTTAAATAACTTGGATTATAGAATTTAAATGACAAAAAATAAAATGGTCAGCAATAAATATTTTAATGATATAATAATTTTTTATTTATAAAAATCATATTTTTTTTAAAATTCAGAATTCTAATATTTATTATTAAAATAGTATGTCAGTTAGCATTTACCATTATCATATATGCAAAATAAAAAAAAATATGATTAAAGAATAGCATTTGTAATGAATATTTTTCTAAATCTGTATTTTTAAATAATAAAAATCTTACTTATAAAAATAAATGTAAAAGGTACTTGATTTCTATTAGATGTTATTTATTAATAATAGAATTATATAATTTTTTCCTAATTATTAGCAGGTATTGTTCTAAAAGCTTATTAATATCTTATATATAAATTTGTTAATTTAGCCAAGAATAATTATGTCTGATTTTAAGATATCTTATCTAATTAACAGATAAATTGTCTAATTTCTTATAAATTAAGTATTTAAAGAAAAAACAACAAACCTGGTATTATTTGATATATAATGTTGATAATATAAAAATATTTAATTTGATATATAATGTTGATAATATAGAAATATTTAATTTGAAAAGAAATCACCATTTTAAAAAATGCCCCCAAGGAAAATTAAAATTTTAAATTTAGGTTAATAATTTAAAATTAATTATTTTTAAAAGCGTTTTGAACCGGTTAAATATTTATAACGGTTCGGTTCGCTCTTTTAATATTTTCTTCATAACGGTTCGGTTAAGGTTACGGTTCAGAAAATCATAACGGTTCATTCTGGTTTTGCGGTTCGGTTCGAACCCCTGATGGGGAGCGATGAAAGAGATCACGCGCGAAATATATTAGTGTGAAAAACATAAATAGTGTTAATAAATAATTAAGGGAGCGGTGAATTTAAAGTAATCACGCGCGATTTAGTTATCTAGTGCGGGAAATTAGATTGTACGATAAATATCAATATGTGAAATAGTGTAGGAAGAAAATATACATGTTGAATGTATATGTGTTTAATTGAGCTATTTTAACTATTAATGTTAATTACATTCATTATATTTTTAAAAATTAGCATCTAAAAAAAGGAGCGCGCTACAAGGTTAGCAATACCATACTTTTTACATATCTTCTAGATCCAAAAGAAATTGGAAATCAGATTGCCAGTATTCAAATAACAGTTATAAAGATATTTTCCTAAAGATAAAATTAGAGCAGATAATTTTGAGCAATGATATTACAATATAGATCAAAAACTGGATAGGTTTTAGCTTAAGCTTATGGGAGGTAGCGCAACACGTTGACGGTGTAACTTGGTGTAAATGTAATGGGAATAGTGTGCTCCTCCTTCAAAATTTGACAGTTTGTTTATTAAATGTTCCAACATCAGCGAATAGTGTGTGATGGGGAATATCCACGGTAAATACCGCAATCGCCTAACCGATGACCAAGTTAACAAACTGGTTTATATATATTTCACTGAAATGTTCACGATAGCTTGATTTCCTATTATTTGTATTGTTAAATTTTATTTAAATAATTGTGAAAATAAAAAAATTTGAAATAAAATATTGTTATAGATATAAAACTTTCTAAAAAACATAAAAAAGGAAAAATATTTGTTTTTTCTCTTTGTCTTATTATCCTTTAAATAAAAATCCTTAAGAAAATTAAATCAAGCTGATTTTTTAAATTTTTACTAAGTTTTATATATTATAATAACCATAGACTTATATTAACATAGACTGCTCAACACTCAAATGGATAATGTATTTAAAACAAATGATTTTAGAGCCATTCTAAAAATAGCAGGTCAGCATTATCATATGCTTATAAATTTCATCAAAATACGATAAAAAATGGTACATAAATAGAAATATTTAATACAATCATTGCCACATATACTTACATATTATATGAGATCAATATTCTTAAATTTCATCAAAATACGATTAAAAAAATGGCACATAAATAGAAATATTTAATACAATAATTGTCATATATACTTACATATTATATGAGATCAATTCTTCATCATTAATATTGTAAATGGTTTATAATAATTCTAGGAATACTCTTAATTTATCTTAATAAATTAATTATTATTTTAAGTCAATGTCTTTTTGTTCATCAAATTTTATAGCAAGAGGTCCAAGGAATAAATTATAAGTAAATTTATTCAATTTTTAAAAAAAAATTGGAATAAACAAAGTTATATTAATAGTTTTTGTTAATATTTCTGATTTTTTCAATATTTATAAATCTAATTATACACATTATCATCATAATTATATATAATAATTTAAACACAAAAATATGAGAAAATTTAAATTTAAGATTATATAATAAAATATTTTTAGCACATTGAGCTTGAGACCATTTTTAGGAGGAATACATGCAATAATATTTAGCCACTTATATATTTTTTTATTATACAAACATAATGTTAATATTACTTCTTTTTTTCTAATTTTACATTTATTCTTGATAACTGTTGTATAAAATAGGATGTGGCTTAATGAATCAAAATGATTATTTGAATTAATAGATAGTAGAGGAAGGCGAACGTCCATAAAATTAAATCTACTTTATAATATTGTATAAATAATCATTTATTCCACTTAGTTACTTTTATACTATACATAAGGTTGGCAAGTCGTTTAATTGACCGGAAGAATATTTGACTGAAAGAAATGGTCAATACTCTAAAAAATCAAAACAAAATAAATTAAAAATATGTTTAAAAAAAGAAAAAGAGATATAAATACATGTGATCACAATGCTGCTTATTGCCCACAATATCAAGGTGAGCATCTTAGAATTTAATAAAGTGTATGATAGAGGAATCTGGCATTTTACAAGGTGGTGATGATCAAAATATTTCAAGTGATTTCATAAATTTCAGAAGTAAAAATGGCATGTTTAATAACATAACATCAGATTCCTGCCTCTAGTGTAATAAACATTACCATGCATATTAAGATAAATAGCATGATTCTGAATGTGTTCTCAAATATATACAAAAAAATGATGGGATAAAAATAACAAAAGGGATTAGTCAAAAGTGGTTACATGTCAATACCGCAAAATTTTTAGCGCGAACTGCATTATTGCGAATGGATCATAGCAAAATCATTATCGCGAATGCATTACAGCGAATGTATGACCGCGAATGGATTATCGCGAATGTATTTGATGACAGCGCGAATAAATTTTCGCTAATACATTATAGCGAGTGTATTAGCGCGATTATTGTCGCGAATGCATCATAGCGAAAACAGTATAGCGAATGCATTATAGCGAATGCATTAGCGCTAATGAGTGTTAGCGAATGTATTATAGCGAAAGCATTATCGCGAATGCATTGCAGAAAAAGCTTTACCGCGAATGCATTATAGCGAATGTATTATCGCGAATGTATTACCGCGAAAGCATTATCGCGAATGCATTATAGCGAATGAATTAATGCAAATGCATTATCTTAAATGAATTACATCAGTTGCAATATCGAGAATGGAGTTTGATGAAAATAGACAGACTTGGTTGAACCTGGAAATTAATTTTTTTGAAAATAGGGCTAAGGCTTTTAATTTTTTTAACTCAAAATATATTAAAAAAATTCTAAGCAATAAATAGATTTTTTAGGATTAGGGTAAGGAAATTATTTTTATATTAATTTATTGTTTAAATATGCGTTTAGTTATATTTTCCAATTAAATTTGGGACAGGAAGACCTAAAATTTAAAATAAATAAAGATTTTTGATGGAACTTCTGCTGAAATAAATTAAATTTGCAAGGTGCTAAGGAAAGTCTTATTTAAAACATTGAGCCAAACATATAATTAGCCCTCGAAAATCATTTATATTTTAATTAGTGAGGGATTAGTATTGTGAGCATTTTTTGATAATAAATATGTAGAAAGTGTTTTCTTATTGCTTAATCAAAAAGACAAAGCCAAAGTTTATCACAAGACATGAAACAATATTCAGCATCATAGGTAGATTGTAGAATTGAATGGCTACACATCTTAGAACTTAATTCATTTAATCTCTGATGATGAAATTACGATTATTGTAACTCAGGAATTGAGAAAACAATAAAATAATGATTTCCTATTGATTCTTGTTAAGTTCTTGATTCCTGATGGGTCTTTTTTCTAGTTATGCGATTAAAAACAAAAATTTTATAAATGGATATAGAAACATATTAAAAAGTTTTAAAAGCAAGCATAGACGGATATTATATTAGAACTTATTATCTATGATTCCACTTTCTACAGTCGAAAGCAAGGCCCTTTAAAAAAAATATATTAGCAAAGTAAGATATCTTTCTTAAGAAGCGTAGGTCATGAAAACCCTTATGTTATGCTGGGAATTAGAAATATTGCTTTAATCGGGAATTTTTTTTATTAAGAAGATACCCACTCCCCAAGGTATAATTATTTTCAAACCTATGATGATTTCTACAGAAACTGATCCAGCCAGCCCTGGTGCCTACCCTATGAATATTATATAGTATTCTAGTGATCTTTTAACTAAACTTAATTTTGGTTTGATGGGTATTATTTTATTTTTTGTTATTATATACATTTAAAATCATTGATTGTTAATTTAAAAATCTGATTTTGACAGAAAAACACCAATAAGTGTAGAATTTTGAGTAATTTGTTAATTTTAGAAAATTCAAAAACGGTTTTATAAAAAAAAACTAAGATTAAAAGGTTAGTTAATTAATCGTAAGTAAAAATTTAAACTGAACTCTTTTAAACTAAATATTTTTTATTCAATTCGATCGTAAAAAAATTAATTGCGAAAATAATTAATCCAATAAAAAAAATTAATTATCAAATAATGATCCAATTCACAAAAATGTATATTTTTTAATATAAAAAAAACAAATACCCATGTATGTCATTGCGATATATTATCAGATATATATTTTAAAAAAATCGCATATGCTTTAAATATAAAAAAATAACGGCGAACTTTTCTTAATAAAAACAAAACTCAAAACGAAAAATATATCTTGTTTTGTTAATCGAAGAAAAATATATTCCCATAATTTATATCATAAAGCACATAAGGGATTTTTAACAAAATAAAATAAAAATGATTTTTTTTGATTGACATTTTAATTATTAAAATTAATATCAATAATAACTATTACAAAGGACAGGTTTAGCATAAAAATAGGCGAAAAATAATTAGACAAAAATTAGGCACCTGCTAAGAAGCTCGGCTAATTGTCCTTTATTAATATATCGTTACATAATAATTATATAATAATAATTTTAATAAATATGAATATATAATAATTAAGGCTAGGCTTATTTTTGCATAACCTTGACGTGCTATTAGCCGAGTTCCCAGTGCCTACTTTTTGTCTAATTAGTGCCAGGCGATCTTTTGGCTAAGTCTAATTAGGTTTAACCAATTTTTAGGCTAATAACGCTACTTATAAATTTCTGGCAATCTTATGACAATTTTGACATTTTTATATGAATTATTTAGATGCAAATGATGTATTATATCAATAAAACATAGTCCATAAAAAATAGAAGAATAATAATTATAATCATCTATGTAAGAGACTTAATAAACCAATGGAATCTACAAGCCCCGGATTTGGGGCTTGTTGGGGAAAAATTTAACTTTTATTAGAATCAATAAAATATTAAAAATATTTATTAATGTATAACTTTAAGTAAATGTTTGTTGGGCTATCTCATAGTATTTTATAAATTCAAATACAACAATTATTTTCAGGCTTATGATGATTTTGACAAAAACGCCGAATAGCCCTAGTCCCTACTATTGGAAGAAAGTTGATCATGAGATCAAAAATTTAGATCATTTACCGGTTACTAAAAAACGTTGTTTTTAAATCTTTATAACTCTGAAACGCGTAATCTTCTTTTTATGAAATCTATTTTATTGTGTATCTTAATAATCTCAAAATATTTTAAATTTTAATATAGTCAGGACACTTATCTTTTTAAAAATTTCTCCTAAATCATAAACTATAACATAAAAATATTTCGGTATTATCAAAGAAATCTCATTATTAAACGCCAATAACAATATTAGCATATACGGTAATTTTGTAAATTAATTATTTTATCCAGAGAAGATCTAATAATGATAAAATTATGCGTAGAGAAGAAAAATTGGAAAGAAGTTTAATTCCTGAATTTTCTAGAAGAAAGTGAAATATTAGTCCAGTTCAACAGCTTTAAAGAGACCTCAAGATACGGGTTCCATATATCAAACTATCAAGTAATAGGCTACAACCTTTAACCTTTTGAATCTTACAAACTTGAAAAAAAAATTGGTAAAATATGGCCCTTGATATCAAATTGGTGTTTATTGTCAGGTTCATGCAAGAAAAAAAAGAATAGATTAAATACATAAATTTTTATTATTTTAATAATTTTATGGATCTCAAAATATGCTTTGTGTTTTTCCATTATAATTTATAATTACGAAAAAAAATTTAAAAAAAGACGAGCGTCCGGCTATAGATCAATATAATAGGAACACGTCTAGCCTATTTTAAAATAAATAAAAATAAATGAGGGTCTTAAATTATTTTTTGTCTAATATTAGTATTTCAAATTATTTAAAAAATGATTTAATCTAATTATTAAAAATAATTGAGGATACGAAACTTCATAAATAGCAAGTGACGTGTTTTAGAGTTATAAAAATTTAAAAAACGCTAGAATAAATATAGAAACATCAATTAGGCTGGTTTCCTCATTTTTTGAAAAAGGTCTCAACTTGCTAAATGAGTTACAATATAATTAGTTAGTTTAAAGAATTTCTTTAGAAAAATAGAGATCGGGAAAAATATTATCAGCTATGAATTTCCAAAAGGTGATTTATGGTTCCCAATATATTTAAAAATAAAAACATAATAAAGATGAATTATTTATTAAGGAGTAAGTGGATAAGTAGTAAAGAATTTTAATACTCTATAAAAATTATATCGATCATTTGTCAAATATAAATCAGTATTGCATACGTGATAATTAATTCATGATAATGAATTCGCTGTAATGCATTCGCGATAATGCATTTGCTATAATGCATTCGAGATATTGCATTCGCGATATGTAATGCATTTGCGATAGTAATTTCGGGGTATTG